CTGCCCACCCCCACCCCCTGACTCATTTGCCCTGTCAAGCTCTTGGGTCCCTGCCACACAGAAGTTCAAACAGCTCTGCACCTTCCACTTTCCCCTGCTCAACACTCCCTCTGAGTCCAAGCAGTTCGTCCCAAAGTGGAAATCCAGAGCCACCACACTGTTACATCCCCACAAACTAAGAAGGTCCCTGCTCCCAACCTGTGTAGGAAGTTCTGTCACTGTCAAGGAGCTATCATGCCCTCCTCACTGCTTTGCTACTAACATTCTTGTCACCCAGCTACTGTGCCTTCAACGGCCCTGCCTCTCCCCATTCAGCAGCCCATCCTCTGCACTCTGCTAGTGCCCTCCTGATGGCAGGTCAGGGAGGAGGATGTCTAATTGCCCAGAGCTCTGGCTGCAGACACAAAGCCTTCTCTTTTCAGATCCTGGGATCCTTTATTCCTTCTTTTTTTGTCTCCTGGGAGTTTTCTATAACCTTCAAAGCTGTGCTCTGACACTGGCCTTTGGGTATAGCCTGTGGTGTCCCTGGCATCAGCAAAGGCCTTGACACAGAGCAGACTTCAGCGAGCAGCTTGGATAAAACCCCAGAGGCTTGGAGCTACGGGAAGAGTGGGTTAGCGCAGGTTTCATGAGGATGTTTGGTCCTACTTTAGTTTCTGTTCCAAATGTGGGAACAAACGTGCTCCTTAAAACCCTTGAGATCACATGGGTTGTGCTGACTGGCATTTATGTCAAAGCCAAAGCCTTAAGCTAATTTGGTACTGACAGGATTCTGCTAATCCCTTATATAAATATGGGATCTGCTCCTTGACCTTCCAGGTCAGGATCTTGGGTGGGACACCTGTAGCCTTCATTTGCCTCTGAATTTTCTGGAATAAAGTTGCTTTTATCTCTCATTTCAAGGTCCTGGGAGAGAGAACCAATAACAAAGTCCATGTCCGGAAGCAATTTGGGTTGGGGGAGGGGTGTCTTGAGGCTTGTCCAGTCCTTTTCTCTTTGTTCAGACTAGGCTGGGGAGCCACAGCTGCCCACTCAGGGCTGTTTTGTAAAATTGCCCCCAGAAATCTAACTTCTAGACAGACAATTGGCTTGCAAAGCAGTCCAAACTCATTAAATAGATAGATGATCAGAATCTGAAATGACTATTGTTCACTAAGGAAATCTTTCAAGAGGGACCATACTACCAAGAGAGCTGAATGCCTGCCCCTGAGCCTCTAGTAAGGAGTGGAAGGAATCAAGGCCCCTGTGATTGTGTATAAGACCAGAACCCACATCAGGCTCCACCATGACTGGCAACTGTCACTCATGTTCTTCAATTCCTGCAGCTCCTGCCTTTAACTGTCTGTTGAAATTGAAGTTGGTGCTGGGCACATTGTCCAGCCTCACCACCACCCACAAAGCAAACAGATGCTGACTGAACAACAAACAGGAGCCCCAGAGTACCTCCATAACGACCAGATGGGGCACGCTTACTGCTGCCACCCACAGAGTACCAGCAGGCTGTTTAGACTTTTACATGAGAAATGAACTTCCATTTTGTTCAAGCTGCTGTTGTTTGTTACCAACCTGGGTTCTTGGACTCTTTAATCGATAGAAATTAATAAGAGGCCAGATGAGAAATTCAGGCAAGGCTTTATTGGGACTCATGATGCAGCACAAGGGAGTGAAAACAAGCAACAGGTGCTCTTTCTGGCTCCCTGAGGTCAGGGGGGAGGGGAGCAAGCTGGTCCCTTATGTGGGGTGAGGGTAGGGGGGATCGGTGGGTCAGGCTGGAGGGGTGGTTTAGGTGGTGTGCCCACCCCCTTGCCGGTGCTGTATGCAGGAGGCATGCGCAGTACCCTGCTTTTGCTTCCGGCACCCCAGAAGTGGCGGTTGGCAGGGGGGCAGAAGGGTGGGAGAGGGTTGGAGTGGGAGTTTGGGATTAGCAGATGCGAACTGGTATATACAGAATGGATAAACAGCAAGATCCTACTGTATAGCACAGGGAACTATATTCAACATCCTGAGATAAGCCATAACGGAAAAGCATATGAAAAAGAATGTGTATATATATGTATAAATGAGTCACTTTGCTGTACAGCAGTAATTAACAGAGCATTGTAATTCAACTATACTTCAATAAAAATAAATTTTAAAAATAAATTCAAAGAAGCGGCAGTTGGCTTTTGGCCTTTTTGTATCTTGTTGTTCATAATTTGCTGCGACTGCCCATATGCATGCAGTTATTTTTAGTCCCTCATAGTTTCTTTGTACTCTTGCTCCAGGAGGAGAGGTTTGTCCAGGTGCAAGCACTGCAGTAAAGGGTCCCATGTCCCAGGTTCCAGCCTGCCTCTGTTTTGCCTCTGTGGGTAAGCCCCAAGTTCTAGTATTGTATATTTGAAAGTTGCTAATAGAGTAGATCTTAAAAGTCCTCATCACAAGAAAAAAAATAGTAACTATATAGGTGATGAATGTTCACTAAATTTATTGTGGTAATCCCCATTTTACTGCACAAAATGTATATGTATAGAAAATCATTATGTTGTACACCTTAAACTTATACAATGTTATATGTCAATTATATCTCAATAAAACTGGAAGGGGAAAAAGTTCTGGCAGGGCTAGAAAGAAGCAGAAGAATTCAGTACAAAGTGCTGGCAGTTCAGCAGGGGTGCTGGGAGGCCGAAA